ATTAATTGTTTGTCAGAATTTGGTACAGTCCAAATCCATGGGTTGGTTCAGACCTCAATGTTTGAGCCAAAGTTCAGTTCATATCACCTGATACTTTTTGATTGTGCCCAAGGGATTGTATTATCCCTCTTGAGCTATTTAAATAAGCTTAGACACATGCAGTTAATAGTCAAACAAATAGGTGTATTGTTTACAGAATATATAGCTTGTCCTAACTTTAAATAGAATATACATTTTCAAATTTGTGTGTCTTAGGGGTGATTGTGAAATGAAACGTGAGTTAAGTAAACTAAGCTCCAACTGCAGCAGTGGCAGCAGGATGGGGTATTACAGCCCCGTTTTCCCGTATCATTGTACAAGTTTGCAGATGTTTACAGTCTTGGGTTCTGCATCACTTCAACCTTAGTTCCACGTGTCCTAAAGAGGCCGCTGTAAAAAGTGAAGCACTACATCGGCAAACCATTCACTCACACAGGTGTAATACACACCTGCAGCATATCTGCATTATTATACACTACAGGGCTTTACAGGTTCACTTAACTCAAGTTAAAATTCAACATACGCTGGAGGTACATTTTACTTAAATGTGACATTTGTAATTAAATAGCCTTCATCTAAAGTTACAGCCAGAGAGTGTTACTGATCATTAGACTTGTTCGAGGGAAATCTCTCTTTTCTTACCAATGTCTTTTTTCCACACAATTAGTTTCAATTCCTTTTGTTCATAACCACAATTTACTCTCACCAGGAGAGAACCAACTTGTCTGTATGTAGAAGAACTGAAACAGCTCCTGTATCAGGTCGATCTCTCTCTGCTGGTTTCTGGAGTCACATCCTCCCGTATGGCCTTTTTCAGTAATGATGTTGGTCTCCCACCTCAGGGCTATTAATATTGTCCCGCACTATTACACTGTGTAGAAAACATCACATTTTCTTACTTCACTTAGCAAGTGGTGGAAATTGGAAAATCAAAGACCATTTTTCATTTTCATATTTGTTGAGTTAAGGCCGGTGGGGCGCTGTGTTTTCTCAGAGGCAGAATGACAGTCCTGTGTGTTTGTGTGATTGGTTTATATTTTGCATCTGTTCTTGTTTATGTGTGCAGTGACTCGGGACAGAGAGGTGGACCTGGAGAAGTGCCAGACACAGCGGTCAGTGTTTCTCTGCAAGGTGATCGGACCGCGGGGGACGGGCAAGACAGCCTTTCTCCAGGCCTTCGTGGGTCGCAACGTTGAGGTATGGCGCCATCTGCTCGTCTGGAGCTGAAAATGTCAAATGTGTAATTATTGAATTGATGAGCTTTTAATACAGTAGTTTCCATCATTAACAGTGAAGCTGAGACGTAACCGTTTTCCTGTTTTGTTTGTCTTTTGAATAGAAAACAGTAAATCCCAGCAGTGCCTTCTCCCCCTACGCCATAAACACTGTCCAAGTCAGCAAGCAGGAGAAGTACCTTATTGTAAGTAGCTCCCATCATGATCCTAATGAGGAATTTCCACCTCTGACCTTAACTTAAATCTCAGTGCCTCACAAAAAATCAATGTTCTCCCCTCCATGCAGCTCAAAGAGGTGGATGTAGAGGCGGAGTTCCTGAAAGCATCAGACGCCTCCTGTGACGTTGCTTGTCTCATGTATGACATCGGTGACCCACATTCCTTCGACTATTGTGCCAGTATATACAAGGTCAGTCACAACAAAGGTTACAGGGGCGTTTAAGCCAAATTTCATCTGAGAAATAACTAAAAAGAAATTGAGTTGAGTATTCATAGTTTCAGGTTTCATTTATTAAAATTTGACCTGGCAGGAACAGCCTGTGAATCTGTTTTAATCATAAACAACAGCAAAGATCAAGAAAAGCTCCAGAAATAATCAACTCAGAAGAGCACGAGGAATAAAAGTGTTTGTGTCTTTTGGTACAACTATGTGTTGTTTAGAAGAGGAACGTTTTGTCCTGTTGTGATATATATTAGTGGAATAAAAGGCTCCGGTTACTGTCTTGACTTGAATATTCTCAGACACTTGACACCCACAGGAAGTAAGAGACCAGTAAATAAACAAATTTAAATCCATCTTGCAATTTTGACACATTGTGTAAACATGATCAAAGTGATTTTTCTTTGGTTTATTTATAATGTATCTGAATTTCATCAGAAACCCCTTGAAAAAGTAAAGTTTTCACATTTTCTTTTTTCCTCAGCAACACTACATGGAGAGCAATATCCCATGTGTGTTGGTGGCTTCCAAAGTGGACCTTTCAGAAGTGAAGCAGCTCCACGGGATGACCCCAGCAGAGTTCTGTTATAAACACAGACTGCCTCCTCCGCTGCCCTTCTCCAGCCTGTTCCTCGACTCCTCCAGCAAGAGCATCTACACCAGGCTTGCCTGGGCAGCGATGTACCCGTACGTTCTAGTAGAACAAATTCAATCAAAGGGGTGTTGGGGTATTTTTCAACCTGAACCCTGTGTTTATAAGCAGAATAACAAGTAGAGCCTTTTTCTGGATATTTCAGGAACTGAAGCAGTTGCCCCATAAGTTTAAATTGTAACCACTAGATTGAAATATACTGGAACCCCCTTTTTCAGAGTGATAAACAAAGATGTCAAATCAGCCAAACATTTGAAATATTGAAAGTATCTGACACTTGTTTTCCCCTCCCTCCTCCAGACACCTGAATGGTTCAGACATGAGCAACACATCCTTCTGGCTGAGAGTGGCACTGGGCTCGGCTGTTGTGGCAGTTTTGGGCTTTGCTATCTACAGAGCTGCTGTGAGACTGAAATGACCAAGCACCAGCTGAGCTTTTATGTTTGATTTTGTTTTCAAAATGAGGCACCGTTTTATCCATCAAGACCAAACCTCCAAAACTAGAGACATTTCAATTTTCACCACGGAGGCTTCCAGGAAACTTATCATATCTCTGCCTGCCTTTGTCTGACCTCCCCACTTTGTCCGACCCTCAGTCAACAGATCGCACTTGGATTCAAGTGGTCCTATTGTTCTCCTCGATGCAGTGCACAGCTTTTTCTGCCTTACATTGTCTAATCAGGCCAAGTAGGAGTTAGCCTATCTGCGCTCGGTACCGCTCCCGTTCATATTCAAAAAGGTGCTTTATCAAAACAGAGGAATTGGACAAAGACTTTAAAGTCCAGTCTGCGTCTCCCCCCTCAGTTATCTGTAAGTTAATAGTGAGTTCAGAGAGTTTTATATACATGCAGTGTTTCTTACGTATAACAGAGAGATGCCAAATTGACGAGACTGAAGAACCAAAGGTCACGAGCACATGAAGCATTTTCAACAGAGAGGACATCCTGATTGGCTGCTGCTGAACCTCCTCAGTGAACAAGAGACCACAGACACAAGATCTTCATTTCTTAGGGGCCAAATAATGAGCAATAATCATAGCATGTTAGTTGCTTCTTGGGTAAACCGTTTTGCCTGAGAATGAAATGGCTTGAATCTAATTGTTGAAATGTTCCTCGCGGTGCCTCCTCTGATCTGCTGCGGCATGGAGAGGTTTCTCTTTGTGCATGATGATAAATGGCAGTTTGCAAAAAAAAAAAAAAAATAGAAAGAAATATTTTCTCCTGAGACAAAGCGAATCTTAAAATGATATAATCTTAAAGAAAAGATCTGGTCCTATCTGCGTTCACTCCATCTGTTCACACTGAAATCAAATTCAATTTAAACCAGACTGAAATAGATTTGTAATCTGTTCTCTTTTTTTTTTCTATTCTGTTCACATGTACCTGACACTGTGCACACGTGTTACATGACTCTCCATTGTATTGTTCTGTTGCTAAATTTAGCTGGTGACTTGCTGTTTCTGCAGCTTTTAAAACCTGACTGTTTCCTCTGCAAGAGTTAGATGCTTAATAAAAGACCAGACCGGGTGGGAGCTTCCACCCAAAAGACAAAGCGACGTGTTGAGATGGGAAATGTGTTGTGTTTTCCTCTGGTGTCTGTTGGATCGTTTTAATTTCATCATCATCCCCTTGTTGCAGCATCAGAATGTTTTCATGCTGATTATGAATGATTTTTATCTCATCTCTGCCAAGATCCTGTCTTCATTGCTGCTTGCTGTCGATCAGCAGGACTACGCATAAACTACTGAACAGATGAAACTTTGTGGAAGGATGGAACACAGGCCAAGACGTGACCCGTTAACTTTTGGAGCAGATCGATTAATCGGGCGGATCCAGGATTAAAAAAAAATTCACTTCTTTAGCATTGTTGTGAATTTCTCAAGAAAAAAAATGGATCACCATATTCATGAGTGTTTAAAAGTAGTGTGGAGCTGCTGGATTCAATTTAAAGCAACCGTTGGGCTTTGGAGACCATATGTGCTCCACTTTTTCTTTTTGATACTGAACTATTGGACAAAATTTTCAGACCTCAGATACCAAACCTGTTTTTAAAGATTTAGTATTTGTATTTACTCTACAGCCATACGTCGCAGAGGCATCTCTGGAAGTCATGCAGCTAAAATCTCATGTTGGACTTGACTTTCACCTGCTTTGACTCCAGCAGGTCCCGTTCACTGCGAGGAGTTCCTGCAAGACGCCGCAAGATGGCAGTATTGCCCCTCAGGTGAGAGGCGGTGGGTGTGTCGGGGGGGGGGGGTGGAGCTCATCCCTCAGGAACATGGATGCTGGGATTTGGAGTTTGGGTCCGTGTGTTTATTTACTACTAGTTCATGCGTGTAATGATACAAATATGAGTTGAATGTATTTCTGAGGCCATAACTCAAACCTCAATTTATTCTATTCCCTCAAGATCTGTTGTTTCTATGCAGGTGACTCTTAAAAAGGAATTTCAAAAAGTCAATAACAGAAAAAAATCCCTTATTTGTCCTCAGACTAGTTTAACGGTAATAAGCACAGCAGAGTGGCATCAGGCCTGTTAATCTTGGACAGGACACATGCAGTATGCTCCCTCCAGTCCGTTCCATCACCTTTACGCACGCGTAAAAGGCACACAATAAGTTGACATGACCACTTGGTAGAAGATGACGAGGGTTTAATGAGTGGCGGTACAAACAGTCTTTAAAGGTGACTGAACACAGTGGAGGGGTGGGTATGAGGAAATGTACAGAGTGGAGCTTGAATGGCAGCTATGGAGCCTTTAGGAAAAATCTCGCTGACATCCACCGCCTATAGTCTGTACATTGTCATGGCTCAACAATGCGCACTATTCAAACGTGTATTTCCAGTGTGACCCCGTGCACTAACAACTAGTCATCAGTTCAACTGTATTTACAATTTCTTTTTTTTACCTTACCAGCAAAAAACCCCAGATCCTCAGTCTATAGTATCCAAGGATCAGACAGAGTAACATCATCATCATCATCATTATAATAATAATTATTATTAATAATAATATTATTAACGCCAAATAAGAATGGTCACAAATGTTTCTACAGCATCTTTAAGCTATAGTGCAATGGAGAGAAAACTACTGGTAAAAAGAGCATAAGTTTGCATGGGACCTTACAAAAATAATACATATAAGAAAACATTTCCTTCAGTATTTACAGTGACTGTGTCTCTCTGTCAGTGTCCTTTCACTTCTTCTTCGCCGTCTTTGCTGCCCTTTTCACCGGCTTCGTCTTGGGCTTGGCCGCTTTCTTCGCCGGCTTCGCCTTGGTCTTGGTCGCCTTGGCTTTCTTTATCGGCGCCTTCTTGGCTTTCACCGGCGTCACCTTCTTCGCCACCTTCTTCACTTTCTTAGGGGACGCCTTCTTAGGCTTCTCCTGCGTCTTGACCACCTTCTTGGGCTTGGCCACCTTCTTGGGCTTGGGCACCGGCTTGGCCGCCCTCTTCGGCTTGGGGGACACGGCCGCCTTGGTGGTGGGGGGCTTCTTCTTGGTGCCCTCTGATTTGGCCAGCCTGAAGGAGCCGGACGCGCCGGTGCCTCTGGTGTGGCACAGAGTGCCGGCTTCCACCAGCCTCCTCAGGGCCATCTTGATCTGCAAGTCGGCGGTCTCGCCCACCTTGTAGGTCTTCCTCACGTACTTCTGGATGGACTGACGGGACGCACCGTTCCGGCTCTGGTCTTGCAGGATGGCCGCACGGATCATCTCGGAGTACTTCGGATGAGAAGCGTTCTTCTTGGGTTTAGCTGCCTTTTTGGCTTTGGCTGGAGCCGCTGACGTCTCTGCCATGGTGACTTTTCTTTTTGTCTAAGTTGACCAAAAAAAGAAAAAGTCCTGGAGATGTAGTTTCAGTCGGGTCCTGTCAGCTGGCAGGGAGAGGGGAAGAAAACAAAAACGCACAGCCACGAATAAAGCTTTTCCTCGCTGGAGAAAAAAAACCTGTCACACCTTTAATTTATGATGCAAAAAAAAGTATTGTTAGGATCGTCCACGCGAAGTGACGCGTCCGTTCCGTGGATCACTTAAGCGTCTTATTCCACAGGCGCTCCAGCGAGCCTATGAAGCCTATCTGCGGACGTGATTGAGAACAGCAACTGCCAGCAGCTGATCTAGCGGACTCCATGGAACTGGCGCCGTCCTGTTTGTGTTTCTTCGCCGGCAAACTCGCGTCAAATGTAGAGCCCACGGCGCCGCACCGGTCCACGGAGCACCGCGGGCCGGTAGCAGGGACATTGGGCTTCACGGGGACACGTCGCTTCCAGTCGGTTGTCGCCGGCGAGCAACTTTTATTCCGGGAAAACCGGCCGGAAGGAGCGCGTGTCGCCAACAATTTTGCACAATTCGCGTTAAATTGACCCAAACGGACGGCACGTGCGGGCCCACCACCCCACGCACGTACACGTCTAATCTATGCTCTTGCGGGTGCACGCGGTTCGGACGTCGCAGGGGTCCGTTTTCGCTTTTAATACATCGATACGTTTTCCCAACTAACACAGTCCGGCCATTGACTTTGAGTGACGTGGTCAAGATTATTTGCTGTTAAACCCGCTATAAATGAAATGTCACCGCATCCGAGTCGAGGGTGACCCTCGGGATCACAGCGGGGGCTCGTGTGCGTGGGTTTGCGGGGGCTGGGTGTGCGGATTTTGCCGCTTTTTGGACAGATTTGCTTATAAGTGTCACTATGGCGGTCGCAGCTCGCATGCTCCATTGTCAGGAAAGTTGCCAACACCTCCAAACATCAGGGATCGTGATCCGGGATTATGACATCGATCAACGTGTGCGTGGGACAGGGGTGTGGGGGGGCTGATGTGTGTCCAGGTGTGGGTCCAGCTGTGAGGTGGAGGGTGAGGGGGGGGCTGCAGCCCAAAGCGCTCCTTCAATGTAGGGCGCAGTGATGGTGCTTTCTTTTGTTCACCAAGTGGCGCATCACCCCGCAATGACACATCTGAAACGAGGGTCTCCTCCGCCACGCGAGGGTCCGAAGCTGCACGAACACCCGCACATAACAAACTTCACCATCACACCCCCGCGTGTAGTGTTTATTTCTTATTTTAATATCAGCACTGTGTCCCTCCCCGCAACGCCATTTTGATTCCTATAGCTGAAAGTCACAGCCACTGGAGTGTGTTGTTTGCATGCTCACTTTGTGTTTTTGTCAGATGTATAGTTGTAACTCATTAATAAAATATAAAATGTCCAGAGGTGCAGGGACAATATGCGGGGCAGTGGACAGGCTGCTGTGGACCCACACTGATTCTCACTGTTGTTCAAATAACAACATGCACACTTCATAAAATATTATACACCACATGTTTATTTTTCTATCCATTTATTAATACATCATGTAAATAGGAAAAAAATGTTTATTGTGTCTAGTGATGGAAATGTCTGTCCCTCTGTGTCCACCTGTCCTCACAGGGAGTTGGTGACATGAGTGTTTTGTTTAGCGTGTGTGTGTGTGTGTGTGTGTGTGTGTGTGTGTGTGTGTGTGTGTGTGTG